GTGATTTTAATGTATCCTCAATATAAAAATTATTAATATTTTATACTGTTTTGTTTATACTCTGTTTTAAAAACCCAGTGGTGTATATTATGCTTATAGTACACCTTAATTTAGAGTTAGCACATTTGCAGTGCTCGATAGCCCTTAAGGACCTGTGGGTACCTACTTGGACAGCACAGCTGTAGGTAGTTCTCCCGAGCATTGGACCATCTTCTTTGGCTTTTTGAAGATAGAATAGAGTAATAGATTTTTTTAATGTAAGCTCTTTATTGATGAATAAATGCATATAGAAAAGGCACAGATAAGTATATTTGATTAATTTTCATGAAGAACATAGCTACTTATCTAGAACCCAGATCCTGAGATAGAGCATTAAAAGAACCTCAGGGTCTCTCTTCTGCTCACCTTAGATTTTCTTATACAATCACAAATATAAAGATGTTGCTTTCTTTGTAGCTCTTTCTCCAAAGCGGAGCTGATTATGTAACCAGGAAGGGGACAATGCTGACACATTGAAAAACCTATCTTTTGGTGTTAGGGCAGTGTCATTCTGGCTGTCAACCTAGATTATAGCTCTTCATAAATATGAAGACACTCTCATAAAGCCACTCCAGGAAAGGAGCGTTGAAAAAGAAGGACATTCCTGACCACTCAAAAATTTGGACATTCGCAGTACCCTGGTTCAGTTACACGCGCGCGCGCACACACACACACACACACAAATTAGGTATTTCTATTTTTGTCCTGGATCTCATTTATTTTCAAATATAGGGTGTGGAGGGGGTGCTCAAATAGCTTCTTAATCAGCTTTCTTTCTTCACACAATTGTTAAATGTGAAACTACAGCAAGGATGAGAAAATAATTCACAGTTATATCAAATTTCATGGGATATTGTGAAGACTGTAGATGTTTTTTAATCAGGCAAACTTTTCTCTTGGCATAAGAAAATCTAGGCATACTACATGTTATCGCTTAGATCTAAAATGTCCCCCAAAGCCTCATGTTTGAATGTGAGGCCCAGTTGGAAGGAATGGGTCACTGAGGGTATGACTTGGAAGGGTGTATTTTGGTCCCTGGATCCTCCCTTCTCTGCTTTTTGGCTGCTATGTGGTGAACAGCTTGCTTTTGCCATGCCATTCTGGCTTGCTGAGTCTACCTTGGAGCTGATGACCATGGACTGAATCGGCTGAAATTGTGGGCCAAAATAAACCTCTCATGTTTTAAGTTGTGGGTATCAGGTATTTTGTCTTAGCAATGGAAGAGCTGATTAATACACAGCATATATTTTATATACTGTAAACATATTTTACTTTGACAAGAAACTAAAAGGCAGTGAAGTCATCCAACCATTTATGTACTTTTCTAAAGAAAAATTTTCAGAAGGTTGATGTGGAGATTTATAGATGCAACAAGGTAGAAGAGGGCATAGCGAGGGTCTGAGTGAGGTAAGCCTGGATGTAGGGAAAAAACAATGCCAAGCTAAAGATCAGACTGTCACTAGACAGGTCCTCCCTAGGGGAGATGGGGACCTTAACTCACCATACTCACAAGTAAGCCTGCAGGTTCACTGAGTTCTACCACAGAAAAGAATTTCAGGTCATGTCAGTGAGAGGCAGGGAAAGGTTTATTAGGCCGAGAGAAGTACACACTCAAAAGAGAGTGTGGGTGGGCTCTCAGAGAGTGGGACATGTTATGGTTTGGGGTTGGGGGTTTTATATGGCTTTGGGGTGTCTTCAAGATGGGCATGTGTATTCCTACTGTCTGTCAGGCTAACCATTGGGTGGGCTAGGTTAGAATGCCAATCACTTGCATGTGTTTAAAGTTTAGGGAGATGCTACCCACTTAACCATGCTGCTTCCTTGAGCAGGGAGGTCTACAGGAGGAATCTGAAGGTTCCATTTACAGACGAAAAGCTCCAGCCCAATTTACAGGCTTACAAAGCTGATTGTACCTTGAAATTTTTTTTTTGAAGTTTCCTGAAAGGAAAAAGTCACTGTAACCTTGGGTAACTTTGTGTTTTGAAGCTGCAGTTTTTCTTAAAAGTACAATTTTAAAATTGCATTTCTGTCTCCTTCTGACCCATCTTTGTTTCTTCTATTCTACTACAAAATTTTGCACATCTCTTCCATTTTCTTTAGGAGCCTTCTGAGGGGAAAGGGGTGGAGGGAGCAATGTGCCCTTAAGAAGGCCCATCAACAACAAAATTTGATGCCTTATTTCTGCTCCAAGTCATGGACTCCCCCCTCTCTTTCTCTTTTTGGTTCTTCCTTTCCAGTAGAGTTCTTTGAGACTAAAACTGTCTGAGCTATTTTCAAACACCTGAGAAACAGCGGACATAATGAAGGCTGGTCTACCACATAGTTATTTAAGTGGTTAAAGATAGAAAATGACATTGGCCAAAACCCAGTCTTTCCATAAATTTATGGCTATTTTGTTATGCTTTATTCTGAAGAATGAAGTCATTTTACAATATTGGTGTAGAGGGAATGAAGTCAAATATTTCATGTCAGAATATTTGTTGTAGTTTATAGAATATGATTGAGTTTACAGAATATGATGTATCTGAATGTGATGAAGAGCCATATTACCAGGAAGTCTCAGGGTTCTGTAGGGAAAATGGGTTGGTAAGACTGGGTGAACCAAGGAATTAAAGTTTTCCAATTCCACACAAAGCTTTGGCCACAGGTCAAGGAGGGGTTATTGCTTGATTGAAGGTCTTTGGAGAACTTGCTGATTTGAATAATGGCAGTAGAACATGTAGGAATAAAATAAGCCAATGGCATTGTTCAACAGCAGCAGGAATGTGGTTGTGGATAACCCCCAGGCATCTCTGAAAATCCACATATTTCCATTACAAAACTCTACCTCTCACTTGAGGAAGAAGGAAGAAAATGGTTGAAGGTGGTGGCCACATGGAAAAAATAACCATGAGGTTGTCCTTTCTTCGGTTCTTCTGCCTATCTCCTATCCAACCTGGCCTTTCTTCCCTAATAAGCACCCAATGGTTGACCCCTAGGAGCCAAGGTCATAGCTCAAGTCATACCAGAGGCTCATGTGGTGCTCATTCTCTCCCTAGGTAAACCCCTTACTCCTGTGACTCTGATACCTTCTACTTTTCCACAACTCCTAGACCTACAAAGATGTCACAGACCTTCTCTTTGAGCTCCAGACCCACAGATTTAGCCATATGCCAGCTATCCAACCATATGGTTTACAGGAACTCCAAATTCAGCAAGACCAGTTGAGCTCAGGATGTTTCCCCGACAGTCCTGTCCTCTTCTGGCGACCTCTGACCCAGTGAATAGCACTGTCATCTCTCTAGTTTCCCTTGCCTGACCCTGGTGTCATCTGTGCCACCTCAGTCCCAGTTTCCATCATTCACTGAGTCTTGCTGATTCTGGTTCTTGTGTCTCAAATTCATCTCCTTCCCTCCACCACTCTTGACTGTGCAACTACCATCTCAAAACTGGATCACTCTTGTACCTGTCCTGTCCCTGGATTAAATGTAGGACATCATTATGCGTACTAAGTAACTATTAAAACACAAATCTGTTACTGAATAAAATCCTTTGAAGGCTTCTGTTCCACCAAATCAGCTCTAAAGTCCTAAACAGCCTGTACCAAGCTCTGTGTTTGTAGGTGACTCTGCACGAACAGGTGACTCTTTCTTCCCCCTCCCGCCTCCCCTGACCCCCTTTTGCTGCCCAGGCACTACAGTCCCCTCTTAAGCATGACAGTCTTCAATTACCCTCGTGTGCTGAGCTTGTTCCTGCTTCCAGACCAGTGGTTCCCAACCTTACTGGCACCGGACACCATGTCTATGAAAGACAGTTTTTCCACAGATGAAGAGGGAAGATGGATGGTTTGGGGAGGATTAAAAGGGGAACCTGAGTCCCTCGCACATGTGGTTCACAGGAGGGTTTGTGAGCCAATAAGAATTCAACGCCCTGGTGGTCTTACAGGAAGTGGAGCTCAGGTGGAACTGTGAGCAATGGGGAGTGGCTGTAAATACGAATGAAAATTCTCTCTCCTGCCATTCACCTCTTGCTATGTGGCCTGGTCCCGAACTGACCATGGACTAGTACTGGTCCATGGCCCTGAGGTTGGGAGCCCCTGCTGACCCTTTGTGTGTTCCAATCCCTCTGCCTAGAATGCTCTTCTATTTCTAAGGAGGCTTTTCTGATCCCTAGGACTTGGTCAAGACCCACCATTATGTGCCCCACTGTTCATGTGGGTGATTATTCTCTATCTAGCTTTTTCTCTGGTGTGTAAAGGTCACAAGCCAAGTACTTCCCAGTGTAAGGGCGGTTGGGGCTCAGAACACAATACCCCAAGGTACTTTGGCATGTGGATATTTTAAGCCAAAGGACATCAGAGGGGCCCCAGAATCAAGGACTCTCTGACCCTCTCCTGTTCTGCCTTATCTCCTTTTTTATCCTTCAAAGTGAGTCCTAGAAACCAGAACTCCTCTTGCCCCAAGTTGGTCATGAAAACTAGAATTCCTCTTGCTGGAAGCAAGCCTCATAACAAAGACGGGTTGCTCAATTCTCCTTTGAAGGCCCTCATTCCGGAAGGGCCTGGGCCTGGTCCCATACAGGAGAAGAAGGGAGAGAGGGGCGCTATTCAGAGAGGCCAAGGAGAACCCAAAGGCCAAGAGAAAGCATTCAGAAACTTGGGGGAGATTTTAGTTTTCATTTTGTCTTTGGTTAAGTTCAACCTTATAGTATAATTTCCTACTAAGAATATAAAAGGCAGAGAGGTGAAGAAAATTTAATATTACTAAAAACAGAAATGAAAGATAATACTCCCAATGACCACTGTAACAGAACTTAGTTAGATCAAGGATTGCAGTAATTTTTCTTTACTTTTTCCTAATGATTTATATCTTCCAAAGTGCTTCATATACTCTACTGCTTGGATTGTTAAGGACGTAGTGTAAAAAGAGTATAAATAATTTAAAAATTAAGTGGTCATTAATAGCAAAAAGATCATTCAACCTATTTAAGAATTAAATTGTCCTAGAATTTATTTTTCTAGCAAGGCAGAGGCATCATTTACATAATAATTGATATGTTAATTACACCTAATCTGAGAAATCTGCTATGTGACAATGCTTTGTTAATATATTTCAAGGGGTTCTATGAATTTGGAGGTTTAAAATTTGATAGACAGTAGCTTTTTTCTCCTTAAAAGCAGTTTGACATGAAACATTAAAATAAAGCAGACAGGATTGTCTTCTCAAAAGGAAGCTTCTTCTGTTTAAGCAGAAGATGTACCCATCGCTGTGGTGTGGGTACCAGCACAGGTCCATGTGTTGGAAGGTCGGTCCACAGGGTGGAGGCGTTGAAGGCGCTGTGGAATCATAAGAGATAAGGGCTGGTTAGAGGGGTCCTGCCCTCCAAAGGGATTCAGGCATTTTCTTGGGCAACCTTTTGGTAGTTCTCAAGAAAAGTTTGCTTTTACAGAAGCGAGACTGCCCCTTCTCTCCCTGCTTTCTGGTTCAGATGTGATCACTGACCTATACTTGTTCCTACCATGGGCCTCCACCGGAGCCTGTGCTATGCTGTTTGGGCTTTCAGCTTCCACAGTTGTGAGTTAAATAAACTTTACTTCTTAAGGTGCCTGCATCAGGTATTTCACTGTAGTGATGAAAAGCTGACTAATGCACCATTTCGCTGCTAAAGAAATAGAAATTCTGTCATGTCTCTTTTTTTTTTTTGAAAGTAGACAAAAATTCTTCATTTATTTCTATATTTTATATTTGTTCCTTCTATATAATGTGTCTTTTTCCTAAGGTTGCTTTTAAAGTTTTTTCTTTATCTTAGGTTTCTGGCAAATTGACTATGATATATGTCAGTATATTTTTCCTTGTCTTTATCCTCATTGTGATTTGTTAAGATTCTTGAATCTGTAGATTTACAGTTGTGATCAGATTTTAAAAAATTTGGGCCATTATTTCTCCAAATATTTTTCTACTCTCCCTAGTCTTTTGGAATTCCAATAACACATACATAAGTGCCTCTTGAATAATTAGAAATATTTTATTAATTTTCTAGCCATATTTTCTTCTATGTTTCATATTAGTGAGTTTTTATTGGCTATGTCTTCAAGTTCACTGATCTTTCCTTCTGCAGATTCCAATTGGCTGTTAAGTCTGTCTCATGAGTTTTTTTTGTTTGGAGTACTGAGGATTAAACCCAGAGCCTTATGCACACTAAGCAATTGTTCTACCATTGAGCTACAGTATCTTCCCTGCAATGACTCATGAGTTTTTATGTCAGGGTTTATATCTTTCAGCACTTCAGTACCTTGTAAGTAGGTTCATTTCTTTCCTCATTATGTTGATTTATTGCTTTCATTCTTTGACACATTTTTAATAGTGATTTTATAGTCTTTTTTTTTTTGACTACCTTCCTCATTGTTATCATTCTGGATCAAATTTTAGTAACAAAATTTTTTACTCCTAGATATAGTTCATGATATTATGCCAGTAGGATACTAAAGAAACTATCTGTTTTCCAGTGTCTGAACACTATAATTTCAGATATCTTGCTCAATTTTCTAGTTATTTATGCCTAGTTCAGATATTCTGTCATGGCTGAAAGAAGAAATCCACATTTTCTCTTGGTTGCATTGTTGAGCCACTGATTCACATGATAGAAGACCAACCTCTGTGTTTTTTGGACACATGAGATAATAAATTCTATTTTTAAACAGTAGAAGTTGGCTTTTTCTGATGCATACTACCAAAACATGTAAACTAATGGATACACTATACAAACTTAGATTCACAGATCAAAATGGAAATACTTCTTAGGTATCCTGTTGCTTCTCCTACGTGTTTCCCAAATTGATTTTTAACAATGCAAACTCTGACTAACTTCATCGATCGGCTAACCCATTGATGAATTCATAGCTGAGTAGGTTATGAGGCTCCCGGGGCATAACCTTGAGAACTGTGTCTCATCCCTGGCCACTTCTCTCTGGCTCTTTCCATTGCTTTTTGTTCCCTAGCTGTCATGAGGTGAGCAGCATTAATCTGCCACATACTTCCACCATTACGTTTCTGCCTTAGAATCAACCAACCATGGGCTGGAATCTCTGAAACTATGAGCCAAAAACCAACCTGTCTTCCTTAAATTTGTGTATGTCAGGTATTTTGCCCAAGTAACGAAAAGCTGGCTAAGATATAAGACATATCGACACCCTGTACCTCCTGATGTGATGTACTGAGTGGAATGCACCATTTCTTCTGTGGGGTTCTTGACAAAAAATAAATAGCCCCAATCTAATCATGAGAAACCATCAACAAACCCCAAATGGAGAAGCATTCTTTCTATAAAAATCACTGACCAGTGATCCTTAAAAGTGTTAATATCGTGAAAGACCAAAAAAGACTGAGGGAGGAATCATTTCATATTGGGAGAGAATGAGAAGATTTAGCAACTAGATGCAATATGGGATCCTGGACCATAAAAAGACACAAGTGAGAAAACGACTAAAATTCAGATAATTCTGGAGTTTAGTTAATAGTGTTTTATCAGTGTTAATTGCGTTTCAGTCATCTTTGTAGGGTGATAAGAGGCGAATCTAAAGGGAGCTAGTTCAGGCTATATGGGAACTCTGAACTACTTTTACCACTTTGAAATAAAATTACTTCAAACAGAGAAGTTAAAAAAAAACAAAGGTTGGGGTCAGGGATTTAGCTCAGTGGTTTCGCCACCTACTGTGCAAGCGCAAGGACCCGAGTTCGATCTCCGGTACAAAAAAAAAAAAAAGACAAAGGTTACCAGATTGGATTTTAAAAAGCAACAAAAACTCCAGCTAGGTGTTATTTGAGAATCACTACAAATACTATATAAAGGCACTGAAAGGTTGAAAATTTTAAAAATTTAAAGATTGAAAATAATGTATAACACAATCATCAATCAAAGAAAACTAGACATTACCAATAAATGCATTATTAGATATAAGGAGGGACATCTCATAAAAGGATTTATGAACAAGAAAGCTTTAAAAAGGCTATTCTGTATTAACATATACCTAGCATTATAGTTTGAAAACAGAGTCATGTATTATTTAACAACAGAAATTGGTCTGAGAAATATGTTGTTTGGTGGTTTTGTTGTTGTACAAGCATCATAGAATGTTCTTATATAAACTAACATCAGGCAGTACACTCTTACGTGGTCACTGTTGTATATATGGTATGACATTGACCAAAATGTCATTATATGGTGCATGACTGTATATAAAACAAACTGATAAGTATGAATAAAAGAAATTAACAAATCATCACTGTGGTTGAAAGTTTCACAAAGCTTTCTCAGTCACTGAGAAGGGAGGTAGGCAAGCATAGATAGAGATAAAAGACGAAGCCTGGCTTGATGGCGAATGCTTATAATCCCAGCACTCTGGGAGGCTGAGGCAGGAGAAAGACAAGATCGAGCCCGTCCTGAGTAACTCAGTGACTTTGTGAGACTCTGTGACAAAGTAATATAGAAAATGAAAAGGGATGGGAATGTAGCTCAGTACAAAAGCTCTGGCATCAATGCCAGCACCAAACAGACAGACAGACCAAAAGATGTGGATAGTGCAATGGACCAATTCTCCTTAGTAGGTGAATATAGAATAGCATACTCAACAGTTGCAGAACACACACATGTTCATTTAAAATATACACAAATGTTTATCGAAGTAAATGTAAGGACAAAAGCAAATATCAAATTTCAGAAGATTGAAATCATAAACCAAAGTGAAAATAAATAAGAAGTCAGTTAATACTATACCTGATTTGTTTTTAAGGTTTGGAAACTAAGCAGTACACTTTTAAGTAATTCATGGATTCAAGAAGAAATCACGAAGAAAAATGGAAAATGTTTAAAATTGCACAGTAACAAAAATGTGATGTTTCAAAACTTGTAGGATACAGTTAAGGCAGTGTGTTCCTAATGCATGTATTAAAATTTCTATAATGGCCTCAGACTAGAAACAAACAAAATGTGTAATAATAGAAGAAATACATGAAACAGGTTAATTGTACCCATTAAACTACTGTTAGCAGAAACCACACAGCTGGGTCTCACAGGCAATATCAAGGGAAAGAAGCAGCACCCATTTTATGATTCCATTTCTCTGAAGTTCAAAAGCAGGCTGAATCATGATACAAACTATCAAAACCAAGGTTACACCTTGGAATATGTTGGCTGAGAGGGGCACGTGAGAACCTTCGGCAGCATTGGAAATGTCCTGTGTCTCTTGATATGGGTGGGTTTTACCTGGGGTTGTGTGTGTACACATGCATGCATATGTATTCATCTCGCTGTATTCTTAGCGGTATTTTAAATTCTACTTCAATTAATAAATATAAAAGAGAATATCTCAAAGGACTTATCCCCATTAACTATTCTCCCCTTCAGAAGCCTCCTGGCTCTGCTTCTTCCTATTTTGCACTGGTTAGGAACAGTCCTGAGGCAGCCCTGAGATGCATTGTTCAGCTCTCTGCTGCAGGTTCAGGCTGGTGCCGCTCTCTGGACTATGCCAAGCCAGTGATCTACTGGTGTTGGGGTATGGAGCCACTTGTTGCTGCCCAGTCTGGGGGTCTTCTCACGTGAAGTTGTTGCTCTGGAGATTCCTCACAGCCTGATGGAGACTTCCAGAGCTTCACTGCAGCCTGAGACTCTTCTTCCCAATGCTCCTCTCCCTGTCAGGTTCAGACTGACTTCATGGTCTCCAGGGCTCTCCTCCCTCTTCTCTTTGTCACTCACAGGCGTTTCCCCAATAAATCACTTCACAACTACTTGTTTCATCCTGGACAAGGTTGGGAGTCCAGTGCTTATTATCTTTTCTTCTAAATAAATGCCACAGCTGTACTCCTCTGGCTCCCATAGCCCACTGGGGGCAGAAAGCAAACCGTGGGTCTTTGCTGATCACCAGATGTCTTCACCTTTACCAATCTGGTGGAGAACTGTTGTACTGTGGGAGAAGCCCCTGCCCATCTTGTATTTTGGGGGCGACTCTCTGTTTCTTTCTTCAAACCTAATATTTTCCTCAGTTTATTCCCAATGGACTTTGAGATTAAATTAAACCCAGAGCCTGAATCATTAGCAACCGAAAAACAAACTCTCCATTCTCCAAGGATAGGGAGATAGTCATATAAAACTTTCTGAAATGAAGTGCATTCTATGACCTATATATCTGCTTTCCTCCCAAGAAAGTTAAAGGACGAATAAATAAACAAGACAATCTGGATGATGATAGCCCACCACCTTCTCTTCTTTGTAAGTATTTGTGTTTCTACAGAAAGATTTATTTCCCATCTGGTGATTCCTCACTCTGACCACTGGGTTTAG